CGAAACGCGCGAGGGGGGCCCAAAGTGTAGAAGGGGGGGGGCATGCGTGCGCAACCATTGGCGCCTGAGGGAGCCCCCTTTGGGGCCTTGAAACATTTGAGGATACGCCAAAGTGGGCTGGCGGCGGCGGCATCCAGCCGCAACCACTGCTGCCTTGAGTGGAGCTCCCTATGGGGCCACGAAGCGTGTGAGGGGTGCGCCAAAGTGGGTGGCGGCGGCATGCGGGCGCAACCACTGGGCCTTCAGGTGGAGCTCCCCATGGGGCCACGAAACGTGCGAGGGGTGCGCCAAAGTGGGGTGGCGTCGGCATGCGGGTGCAACCACTGGGGCCTTAGGTGGAGCCACGAAGCGCGCTAGGGGTGCGCCAAAGTGGGGTGGCAGTGACATGTGGGCGCAACCAGTGGGACCTTGGGGTGAGCTCCCTATAGGGCCACGGGACGTGTGACGAGTGCGCCAAAGTGGGGTGGCGGCGGCATGCGGGCGCAGCCACTGAGGCCTTAGGTGGAGCTCCCAATCGTGTCACGAACCGTGTGAGGGTGTGCCAAAGAGGGGTGGCGTTGGCATGCTAGCGAAACCACTGCGGTAGTAGCTGGGGCTCCCGATGGGGCCACAACACGTGTGAGTCTAGTGAGTGGTGCGCCACCGTGGGGTGGCGACGGCATGCGGGCGCAATCACTGGGGCCTGACGTCGAGCCTCAAATGGGACCACGAAACGCGTGTTAGGGTTGCGCCAAAGTGGGGTGGCGGCGGCATGCGGGCGCAACCACTGGGGCCTTCAGTGGAGCTCCCTATAGGGCCACGAAACGCGTGCGGGGTGCGCCAACGTGGGGTGGTGGCGGCATGCGGGCGCAACTATTGGGGCTTTAGGTGGAGCTCTCTATAGGGGCCACGAAGCGTGTTAGGGGTGCGCCAAAGTGGGGTGGCGGCGGCATGCGGGCGCAACCATTGGGGCCTTAGGTGGAGCTTCCAATGGGGCCACGAAACGCCTGAGGGGTGCGCCAAAGTGGGGTGGCGGCGGCATGCGGGCGCAACCACTAGGGCCTTACAGTAACCTTGCGAAGAACTCAAACCTTTCCCCAACCGGGGCGGCTCTTAGCATGATCGCTCACTGCACGAGGATATCGTGAGGGGCTGTGGTGCCCCTGCACGCCTTGCCGAACGCATCAAATCACACAGGAGGTGTGAGGGGTGGCCAAATCTGGAGGGGACACCTTGCGGACGCAGCCGCTTAGGCTGTCGGCGGAGCTCCCTATGTTGCCACCGAACGTGTGAGGGGTGTGGCGAAATTGGGAGTGTCACCATGGGGTCGCAGTGGGTCCTTCCGTGGGGTTCCCCATAGGACCACCAAGCGTGTGAAGGGTGCGCCGCCATGGGGCGTGTTACCATGCGGGGGGGGGTCAGCATGGAATGCTTCCGCGTCTGAGTGCCCTCCGCCTTCTCCTGTCCTTCGCGGCCGCCCTGTCTTCTTAGTGGCTCCCCGCTCCTGCCCGCTGGTGCAGTTCTGCCTCGCCGCTGTCACGAAAAGTGTTACCATGCGGCAGGGTTTGTAGTACATGATTAGTGTAGGAATAGATGCGTGCATGAACTCATCGTTGTTTTTAGTACAAGATCCCTGCATTTTCAATGCATGGTCCACACGCGGAGCACGACGTATTGAACACGGCACTGAAGCCATTGTGGCTTGCGGTGGAGATCCTCGTGAGGCCACGGGGCGTGTGAGGGGTGTGCCGACATGGGGCGGGCCACCGTGCGGACGCAGGCACCGGGGCACTCGGTGCAGCGCCTTCTGGCGCAACGAGCCGTGTGAGGGGGGGACGCCGAAATGGGGCGGGACGCATGCGGACGCAGCCACCAGTGCCTGCGGTTGAGCCGCCTGCGGGGCCACGACACGCGTGAGAGGGGTGTGCCCAGATGGGGCGGGGCGCCATGCAAAGGCAGCCGAAGCTTCGGTGAAGCCCCATCTGTGGCCACGACGCTTGCGAGGGGTGTGCCGACGTTGGGCGAGGCACCCTGCGGGCGCAGTCATTGGGGCCTTCGGTGGAGCTCCCCGCCGGGCCACGAAACGCGTGACGGGTGTGCCGAGATTCGGCGGGACCCCAGGCGTTAGGGCCTTCGTTCGAGCTTTTGGCAGGGCCACGACACGTGTCAGGGTGTGCCGAGATGGGGCGGGCCGCATTGCGGATGCAACCACTGGAGCTTTCGGTCGAGCCCTCGATGGGGCCACGAAACGTGGGAGGGGTGTGCCGAAACGGGGCGGGGTACCATGCGAACGCTGCTACTGGGACTTTAGGCTGTGCTCCCTACGGGGCACGACACGTGCGTGGCGCGTGCCGTAATGGGACGGTTCGCCATGCTGTCGCAATCATTTGGGCTTTCGGTGGAGCTTTTGCTTGCGGGGCCACGAAACGTGTGAGGGGTGCGCCAGAGTGGGACGCAGCCGGTGGGGCCTGCGATGCTCCGTACGGGGCCACGGGACGTGTGAGCGGTGTGTCGAAATGGGGAGTGCGACCATGTTGGCGCCACGATTGGCGTGGTCAGTGGAGTTCCCCATGGGGCCACGGAACGTGTGAGATGTGTACCGAGAGTGGGGCGGAGCATCGTGCGAACGCTGCCACTGGGCTGAGCGAGGGGTGTGCCGAAATATGGCGGACCACCATGCGGGCGAAACCACTGTTGCTTTCGGTGGGGCTCCTCCTCACGGGGCCTAGGAACATGTGCGGGTGCGCCAGAACGGGGCGGGGAACCATGCGGGGAGCGCAGCCGTTGTGGTCTTGGGCGGTGCTGCGTACGGGGTCACGGAACGAGGGAGGGTCGTGCCGAGATAGGGCGGGCCACCATGTGGGTGCAACCATTGGGGGTTGTCAGTGGAGTGCTGTATGGGGTGACGAAACGTGCGATGGGTGTGTCGATATGGGGCGGGCCACCGTGCGGACGCAACCACCGAGGCATGTGGTGGAGTTCCCGAAGTGGGCCAGGAAACGTGTGAGGGGTGCGGCAGAAAAGCGGCGGGTCACCATGCGGAAACAGACATTGGGGGCCTTCGGTGGAGCTCCTCGAGGCGCGACAGGCCGTGTGAGGGGGGCGCGCCGACATGGGGCGAGGCACGTTGCGGCACTGGAACATTCGTCGGAGCTCCCAGTGGGACAGCCAAGCGTGTGAGCGGTGTGGCGACACGTTGATGGGAATGATGATCGTGGTGACGAATATGAAGATGATGTTGACGGCGACAACGACGATGATGACGATGACGTTGGCGCCGATGGCGACGATGATGAAGATGATGATGCTGCTGCCGCTGCTGCTGCTGATGAGGATGATGACGATGATACTGGTGATGCTGATGGTGATGACGATGATGGTGGTGATGATGATGATGCTGATGCTGATGACAGTGCAGATGACGATGCTGATGATGCTGACGATGCTTATGATGAGGATGATGATGATTATGATGCTGATGATGGTGGTGGTGATGATGGTGGTGCGGTGGTGCTGGTGATGATGATGACGAGGACGATAATGATGGTGGTGATGAGGATGATGATGATGATGATGATGATGATGATGATGATGATGCTGCTGTTGATGATGATGATGATGATGATGATGATGAGTATGATAATGATGATATGATGATGCTAGTGATGGTGATGGTGACTGTGTCGATGATGGTTGTGGTGATGATGAGGAGAATGATGATGGTTGTGGTTACGGTTGTGGTTGTGGTGGTGGTGCTGGTGATGATGTTGATGCTGTTGCTGCTGCTGCTGCTGATGATGATGATGATGATGATGATGATGATTATTATGATGATGATGACGGCGATGAGGATGATGGCGATACCAAGGATGAGGAGGATTAGAGAAGGAAGGGGAGGAGGTGAGAAGGTGGACCGAGGCGCTGCGGATTCAAACCAAGACCTCACATACAGGAGCATTGGGAACAAGAGGAGGATGAAGAAGAGGAGCAGACGGATGTTGGAGGGAGGAGCAGGTGGGGCGCAGTGATCAGAACGCGAAATGAGGACCTCTGATGCAGGATGGTTGAGAAACACATATCGCTCGTCCTCGTTCTTCTTCTCCTCCTCCTCCGTTATTCTAGCGTCCCCTTCGTCGTCCTCCTCACGATTAGCAAACACTACAATCTTCGATCTCACGAGTACTTCAGCCTCCTCCTCGTCTTTCTTCCCGTGTTCCTCCTCCTCATCCGGCCGAGCCACTTACTTGAATCGACAATGTTAGTGTTACATTGTACTATCCTCTGTCGTGCCAGACCTGACTGTACAGTCCCCCATACCGTTCACGCACACACAATCGCACGCAATACGCTCTGTTATTCTACTATGGCGTTGTACCATGTGGGCGCCCCATGTGTCTCCGTCTATGCCCCTTTCTCTGGTCCATGTTCAAGGGCTGTTCAGGGTCCTCTGCCGCAGGTGTGTATGGCTCGTCCCTCCTCCTCCACCCTAAGTCTGGCAGGCCCCTGGGAGGGGGTGACCGCCTGGGCTTTTTCTTTCCTTTCTGGTCTACAGTCAACCCGCATAATTAGGATGGGCAACCTTCCCAAGGGTACCCTTGCATCCTTGCCTCCTCGGTCCATCCTTAGCCAGTTTCGTTGGCCGCGTTGTGCTCGACAAGCTTCGAAACGGCCCTCCAAGGCCCTTGCATCCTTATCCCGAATCCTCACTCTACGGGTTGACTGTAGGGCTGTGTCTGTGAGCAGACGCTGCCTTTGTTCAGAGCGTGAATTGCCTACCCCGCTTTCGCTTCCAGGCAAAACCAAGCCATACCACGCGCCTCCTCGTCAAGCGGCATGACCAGTCCAGGCTGCAGTTTGGCACCGTGTGGTGTCTCTTGGAAGCGAGGGTGGTCCAAAGCGAGGTAGGCTTGTGTTTTCCTCTCTATTTGTAGCCCCCTTCCTCGTCCCCGTCCCCCCTCCCCTTGCCTCCGCCGCCCCCCCTTGCCGAGCCCGTGCACAGCTGCCACCAGCCGCCCAACCAGGCGACGCGGCGAGCCGGACGGCCCGCACGGCCCGGCGTGCGCCTCGGCCGCTCGGGCCAGCCGCGGCCGCCCTCCCTCAGCGCGGCGGTCGCTCTGGCGGCGCGGCTGCGGGAGACCGTTCTCTCTCTAGCCGGCCACGCGCAGAGGGAGGGGGCGCGGGGGGGGGGGCGAGGAGGGGGGGGGGGGGCGAGGGAGGGGGGGGGGGGGCGGGGCAGGGGGGGGGGGCTAAGAGGGCGGGGGGGGGAAGGCCTCTCAGAAGCACCCCTGCTGCTCCCCGGCGTGCGCCTCCGCCGGCAGGCCAGCCGCGGCCCTCCTCCCTCGCGCGGCGGCCGGTTCGCGGCGCGGTTACGGGAGATCGTTTCTCTTTCTACTCAGCCACGCGCAGATCTAGGCCTCCTCGATGGGTTCCGAGTTGATGGGGTTGGAGGACCGCGCCGCATCGCCGATGCATCGCCGATGCGGCTCGATGCGGAGCTCGATTCGCTTCAAGCTGGCGTCGCCGATGCACCGCCGACACCAACGATGCATCGCTGGTGCATCGCCGATTTATCGCCGACGCATCGCCGATGCATCGCCGATGTATCGGCGATGCGGCGCGATCCTCCGACCCCATCTACTCCGACCCCATCTAGGAGGCCTCTAGCACAGGGGGGTAGAGGGAGGGGGGTGGGGAAGGCTTCTTAGAAGCACCCCTGCTTCTCAGAGGGCGCGGGCCTCGTCTGCAGATGTGAGGTCGCCGCCTTCTAAGAACCAGCCTCCTTCTAAGAAGCCTTCTCCCCCTATTGCTGGTCCCTAGTGCGCGCCGCCAACTGTTGGTGGCGGAGGACCGCATCACCTCTTGTTGCCATTGCCGACCTGCTCGTATTGACAGTCCATGCTGCCATTGTTTGTCTTCTCGCACGAGGCGACCCCCCCAGCCTTGCAGCTGATGCTGTTTTGCCCCTGCATCCCCAGTGGACATCGACCACCACTCCTGACGCTGCCTGCTCTTTCGCACCGACAGGCTCTGCTTCGAGTCGGGGATCGATTACAGAATTGATTCACCCAAACATTGACTGTCTGCTATATAAATCCACGAAACATCCGAAGATCGGACAAGCCATTTCAGACCCCCCCCCCCCCGGGAGAGACCTCCAAAACATCGTCCCCAGACCCCCCCAGGCCCTCCAAGATAGCCTGGAAGAGACCCCCCCCCCCGAAATGAGACCACCCTCCGGTTTATTACGAAATCTGGAGTATAGCCGGTGACTAGTGGCTCTCGGCTCGCCGCTGGGCAACGGCACTCGCTGCTGCCCCTGCCCTGCTTCACGCGATACGGGAGAGCGGCTGCCACCGCCTGCTGCTCTCGCACGAGCTGATCCCAGCCGTGCAGCCGATGATGCTGCTGCCCTTGGGGTTTGGGTCCTTCGAGTAGGAGATCGGCTAGAGAATTGATTTGCCCCAGATTTGATTTGTTCGCCGAACCATTATAAAAAGAAACGCATACAATGTAGCTTCGACGAACAAATCAATGTCGTAGATTCGGCGAACGACTCAATCTTCAGGTACATCAGCTCTGAAGTCGACCCCCTACTCGAATCCTGCACTGTTGCGCCAGCCCCGCATCGGCGGTCCCACTGTTCGCCAGGGGGCGGAGGAGGAGGGGAAGGTGGAGTGGACGAAGAGGAGGGGAGGGAGGAGACCGACCCGTCTCCTGGCGGGTGCGCACGCACCTGGGGACAGCACTGCAGTTGACGGCGTGGGGCGCCGCGTGTCTTGATGAAGAGGGCGATCGCGACGCGCAGGGCCATTCCGAAGCTTGCCCGCGAAACTCCCTTGCGCGCCCCGTGCAGGGGGGACCGCTCGGGCGCGAAATGGCTGAGGAGGAGGAGGAGGAGGAGGAGGAGGAGGAGGAGGAGGAGGAGGAGGAGGAGGGGGAGGGGGAGGGAGGGAGGAGGAGGAGAGGAGGAGGAGGAGGAGGAGGAGGAGGAGGAGGAGGAGGCGGAGCAGGAGCAGGAGGAGGAGGAGGAGGGGCCTCGCTGCCACTTTGGTGTTCTTTGGGCCTCCGATGGGGAAGCAGACATTGGCATTACTCGAAGAAGAACAAATGCCATAAACATTAACTGTTGGCGCTTCGCGCGGATTTCTTGAATATGTGCCGGGCCCCCCTTCTTTGCGCGCGGAGCGCGCCAGGGGCGGTGCTCGAGGCGCCGCCGGGTGATCCTCGCGCAGATCCAGGAACTCCGCGCGGAGGCCCAAACATCAATGTTTATGGCGTGTTTCCTTCTTCCAACCACACTGCTGTTGGGGTTTCATAAGAAGATGCGCGCAGGCTTCCTCCGACTTCACAAGGTTGTACCTACCCTCAAGTGCATCAGCGCTACACTACAATCCTCCTCTTCCTCCCCCTACTCCTTCTCCTTCTCCTCCCCCTCCTCCTCCGCGCTCCTCCTCCTCCTCCTCCTTCTCCTCCTCCGCGCTCCTCCCTCCTCCTCCTCCTCCGCGCTCCTCCCTCTTCCTCCGCGTCCTCCTCCTGGCTCCTCCGGCTCCTCCGCGTCCTCCTCCGCCCTGGCGTTCTCCCTCTTCCTCCTCTTCCTGTCGGGGGTTTCACAGGAAGGTGTTTGCAGGCATGTGGGGACGGCCGCCCAAGCCGGCTGCCGAGGCCGCCGCCCTGCGCGGGGCCCACGCGGCCGTCTACCTGCGCGCCGCGCTGGCGGCGGAGGCGGGCGGCTGGGAGGCTTGGGCGGCGGCCTCCCTCTGGGGCCCGACGGGAGGAGCGACGAAGCGCGTGCAGTGACGTCCTTTTCCTCCTGTCGCCTCCTCCTCCTCCTCCTCCGCCTCCTCCTCCTCCGCTTCCTCCGCCTCCGCCTCCTCCGTTTCCGCCGCCTCCTCCGTCTTCGCCTCCTCCGCCTCCTCCTCCGCCTCCTCCTCCGCCTCCTCCTGACTCGCGGGGAGCGAGAGGCGAAACAGCTGAAACAGCTCCTCCTCCTCCTCCTCCTCCTCGTCCCCCTCCTCCTCCTCCTCCTCCTCCTCCTCCTCCTCCTCCTCCTCATCGTCCTCCTCCTGCTCCCCCTCCTCCTCTTCCTCCTCCTCCCCAGGCGGGCGGCTGGGAGGCTCGGGCGGCGGCCTCTGTCTCCAGGCGACCGCAAGCATGGATTCGGGGGGCGTGGATTGGCGACGGGTCCGCCGCCGAGCGGGGCGGCGCCGGCGGCATCTTGGGGAAGGCACCTCTCAAGACCCATGGATTTGGCGACTGCGCGCCACATCCATGGATCGCTAATCCATGCTTGTGCGCCCCCGACATCTGGGCCAGACGGGATGAGCGACGAAGCGCGTGCAGCAATGGGGGCAGGATAAATAGTAGGGGGAAGTCGGGCGTGCCCCTCTACAGGAGGAGTAGTCGAAAATAGTCAAAACATAGTCTGGGGACGACGTTTTGATTATTTATGAACATGCTTTATGATTTGTTTGACAAGTGTTTAATTCTTCGTCCCGAATCCGCCTGTAGGGGGACAGGCCCGACCTAATGGTAGGGAGAAGTTGGCACCTTTTGTGCCCTGAGGGGGCCCACTGGGGCCCGAGAGGTGCACGAGAGGTGCATTTTTCACTCCGTCGCGCACCGCGCCCCCACCTGCTCTCGCTCGCACCTGGACGCCGAGCAGCAGGCAGCAGTGGAGTGCGACCAGCTGGAGAACACAGGCGCTGCGGCCGAAAAAGATGCTGGACGACCGACCCGAGCCACCGCGACCTCAAGTTGGACATCCGAGAGCGTGGGCGCGGCCGGGGCAGGCCGCGATCTCGTGCTGGAGCGCCGACAGAAGCATCGCTGGTCGAGATGCCTTTCGGAATGCTTGGCCACGCGCGACGCGGGGGGCACCCTCCTGGAGGGCCGCGCGGTGACAGCGCGAGTGAAGATCGACTATCTCACGGAAGTGACCGCGCTCGACCAGAGGCTGGGCGTGGATGTGTAGCAGCTCGACGATTTTGACGCCAGCGATCTCGACGGAAAGATCACAAGCTGCTTCGAAGCGTTGTACTTTCAGGGGGAGGAGCCGAGCAAGGGGATTCATACTATCGCTGGGCTGATGCATCTTGTGCCCGCCTACAACAGGTTCGGGGATCGCAAGCCGCCACAATTGATCAGTGAGGGACTGTCCAGACTGCCCGAGTAGGGGTCCCAACAGGGGCCCAAGTGGGGGTCAACGAGCCTTTTCCAGACTCCGTCTTGCGGAGTGTGCCTCGCACTTGATGGTTTCTTGTAGGTGCTTTTCTTGGGCCGTCTTGGGGCTCTCAAGGCAAAGGGCGGGCTGGGCATGGGTCTCAAAGGGCTCCGCCAGAGCCCTGAGAAGGGCCCGAAAGAGGCTCAGTGAGGTCTTGGCCAAACTCGGTCTGACGGAGTTTTGCGTAATGCGTGCGGGTGTCTTTCTGGGGCTCTCCTAGGGGTGGCGCTGGAGCGCCTGAGGACGACCAGAAAAGGTCCAGTATGGCTTCAGGACTCCAAGAGAAGCCCCAGCATGGCCGAAGAGGGTCTCGGTGAGCCATTGGCCAAACTCCGTCTGACGAAGTTTTGCGCGCTGCCTGCTTCTGCCTGCTTGGGACCCTGAATATGGGCCGTCTTAGGACTCATGCAGACCATACGAAGGGTCCAGGTGGGCTCGAAGAGGGCTCCTCTAGAGCTCAAAGAGGGCTCCAACAGAGGCTCAGCGAACCCATGGCCAAACTCTATGTGACGGGGTTCGAAGCGATGCCTGCTGGTCCCTCTGTGAGGCCCCTTTAAGGCCGTGCTGGGCCTCTAGAAGACGATCAGGGAGGGCCCTGCAGGGTTCCACCACGAGCCGTTGGCCAAGCTCCGTCTGCCGGAGTTTGCAGTGATACCTGCGTCCAGCTTCTTGGGGCTCTTCTGGATGCCGTTTTGGGACTCTTCAGTGCCACAAGGGGGCCTAGTCGGGCTCCGAAGGGCTTCCCCCGCAACCTAGAGAGGTGCCCAACATAGACTCAGTGAGCCCTTGGCCATACATTGTCTTGCGAAGTTTGGGCCGGTGCCTGCTGGCCTCCTCTCGGGGCTTTCTGGGGGGCGTTTTGAGGCTGCTGGAGACGACCAGGGAGGGCCCAGCAGGGCTGAAAGAGGCCTCCACGAGAATCACAAGAGGGGCCGAAGAAAGGACCAGTGAGGCCCTGGTTTCCGTTGCGGTTCTTGAGAATCTTCATATTTGGCATCTTTCATGTGTGACATATTCTCTGATTCAGGCATCGTCTCCACTCTTCCTGTCCTTCCTTCTCCACTGGTCTTACCTTGGCCCAGACTACGCGGATCTATCTATCAGACTTCTCCCATTCTTCGTTTCTCTCCAACTCCCACCTGCGTATTTCGCTCAGCGCTTTGTCGAATCGTGTTATGTGCTGGGAGCGCAGCGCCTAGGGGCGCCTGGAAGCGCCTGGGTGCGCTTGGGAAGCGCCTGGGAGCGCCTTAAAGCGCCTGGGAGCGCTTTGGGAGCGCCGGAGCTTGAGCGCCGGGGAACGCTTGGGTGTGCTCGGGAGCGCCGGGGAGCACATGGGAGCGCCTTGGATCGGGTTGACCCAAAAAGGGGGTCCAGCGACAAGGGGGTGGTGCAACAGATTGCGAAGGCCCTACGGCCCGCGCCGCCAACCCTGCAGACGGAGACGACGAGCAGGACAAGGAAGTTAGAGGAGCAGGAGGCGGAGGACGTCATGAAGCAGGAGGGGGGAGGATGAGAAAGAGGAAGAGGAGGAGGAGGAGGAAAAGGAGGAGGAAAAGGAGGAGGAGGAGGGGAACAGGAGGAGGAGGAGGAGGAGGAGGAGGAGGAGGAGACTGACTGACCACTGCGTGAGGGAAACAAGAGTCCCGAGCAGAGCACCGCGCACCGTGCAAGCGCGCTTCCGGAACCGGTCGTGTGAGCCCTCGCCCCACGAAAGCGAACGGGCGGATGCCCTCACGGCGGGTCCTGGGCACGCCCCGCCAGGAGACGGAACGGCGGGCACAGGGCGCCGAGGGACTCGCCGCGAGTCTGTTGGTGCCCCAAATCCCCGGAGGCACATAAGATGACAGTAAATACACTGATCACGGGGGAAGGAGAGGGGAGGGCGGGGGGGGAGGGGAGGGGAAGAGGAAGATGGAGACGGGAAGCTGGCACGACGCGCTACCTCACATCTCGCAGTCCCTGTCGGCATCGTCGGGGACGATCTTGCGAAGCTCATCCAGTAAAGTCTGGAGCTTGCGCTCGCCTCCCGAGCGCGGCGCCTGGCCGTATTTCTGCACCCCGCCGGCAGCGCAGATAGCTTTGACCATGATGTTGGTCAGCTGCTTGGCCTCCGGAGCCGTGGCAAGAAAGAGCTTCTTATTGGTGTCCCGGAGTGCTTTGCGCACCTTGCACACGTGCACCACATGGACCAGGGCATCTGGATACGCTGCAGCAGCTCGGTGATTGGTGATCAAATTCCGCTCTTCCGTTGTCAAATGCTCATCTGTTGCCGCCATGGCTGTGAGATTAGCCCAGACATGCACATGGGGCTCACCCGAAGGTTTCGAGCCCTTGCCCTCGGCCGCAGCCTTGCAAGCGTCAGCGTACTGCTTGCTCGTGCGCCGGGCCTCTGCAATGTACGAGTTGTCTGTCTGGCAGAACACCATCACGAAAGTTGCCGCCTGGAGCTCGCGAATCTCGAGGCTGTTCTTCAGCGTGAGGGCAGCTACGAGTTTGAGAATCTGGGCGAGCAGCTCCTCGGTGCCCGCCACGATCTTCTTGGCAGCCGGAGCCCCCGCCGGAGCGCCTCGCTTCAGCGACCACCCCTCCATAGCTGGGAGATGTGGAAAGGACATGGGGTAAGAGGCTGTTCCGCTCAGGAGAATGCAATCAAGGAGTGACGACAAATGGCCCTGGAACGTGCTGCGTAACATGATCCAGCAAAGACGGTAAATCATCACATTCATGTCCACACTGTCTGCACACCAGCTCGTCCGGCACAGTGGGGGCTGTAGTGAGTATGCTCCCCTTCCCCCTGCAAACCTTGTTCCGGAGAGAGAGTGCTATGTGTCGACGCGCAGTTACACGAGTATGGAAAACACACCTGCACCAAGGGCACTGGTTCGTCACAGTGGCAACGTCAGCGTACTGGAGTTTTCCATGGTCCCCTCCCTTAGTCATCCGCTGGTGGATGATGAGCTGCTTTTTGGATGGGAACTTGGCTCCGCACACCGCCCCCCCGCTCGAACGGAGGGTGCATACGTACGAAACTTCCTCCTCTTCCGGTGGGGGCTGGGGTTCCGGATGCACTGCAGGTGGTGTCCATCCAGGCGGCGGAATGGCGACAGCGAAATACTGCGTACGCAATTCGTGCACGTCCAGGCGCACAAAATCTCCCCGTGCCCTCCCCGGATGAAATACCTCTGTGTACCTACCGTGTAATGAATCCAGCAAGTCCTGGCCTCTGTCAATGCTCTGCAACGCCAGCATGTCCTCCCGGAATCTCTGTGCCCATGGATTGATGTCGGCAGCGCTCCCCAGAGTACCATCCGGCAACACTTTCGGACGCACTTCGCACCGCAATTGCCCAAACATGGCCGCAAACACATTCACGTGTAGGTGGGGGTGTGTAGCTAGTTGTTGGTACCATCGCAAGCGCCGTACCATTAGTTCTAGCTTCGACGGAACCATGTGTAGAAATCTCCATACTGTAGTATTCGGTACTGACGTGTATTTGATCACACCGTTCGCATCTACT